TTATTGTATAAACATCAGAAATAAGTTACTAGCTCTTTTTTTTAAGCCAAGGGATAATAATTCCTGTTGTCATTTGAAGCTTGAGGGGAAAACTGAAATTCTGGAGAATCACATGGCTGAAGGAAGATGGACCTCAATAAAGAGTGAACTAAATTGGCTGTCATGATTGTTGCCACCCTGCCAGATGCAGTGAAGAGGAAGCTTTGAAAAATATACCATACTTGGAGAATACATGATACAGACACACAAATTTATATGCATACATATTTATATGAGAAAGCACCACACACCTGTTTATTAACAGTTCAAGTTCAAAAAGAATCTTCACATCTAACACTGATTACACAGAAGGGCCAACAAGGAAAGATGATGCTTAAGAGCGTAAAACTGAAAGTCTATTAGGACTGCTGTTCTACAGCTTATATACAACCAAGATATTACCTGCATGCACTGTGTTAAATTACACATCTCTGGGCAGCATTTTTCAGCCAACAGCTCCTCAAATACCTTTGTTAAAAAACTATCTTATTCAGCAGCAGACAAAAATAAAACCCATTACACTTGTTACAGAAAACATCACTTAAAGGCTGCAGATAGGTCATCGCTTCCAGCAGTAGCTACTGCCCAGAGTTACTCACCACCACCCAGCAAAGAGAAACTACCGCCCATTCAGACTTGAAACAGAGTGAATCATGTAAGAGCACACTAATTGCCTTTGGGAAAAATTAATCAAGGTAACTGACCACTGAAGGCAGGTTGAGCTAATACTGTCCATTTAACTGCTGATTATGCCTAAAGCACATAACACGGCATACAGCTTCTCTTGAAAGGGTCATTTACCATCGTAATCTACGGCAGAGAAGCAGAGACAAATGGCTGAGGGATACAGTATCTACAATTTTCACAGATATTTGGGGGGGGAAGATAAAAATCAATGCCTATCCATATCTTGAAACATTAAGTACAACTTCAGTGATAGGCTGAAAGCCTTAAGACAGATTTTGAAAACCACTAACCATTTCAGTTACTTAAGAATTCACAGACTGTCTCCCAAGAAACTGTCTGAAGTTATAACGTACGTCTTAGGGCAGCCTCACAATTTTTGTAGATTTGTTCAGTTTGTTTATCTACTCATAGGCCTTTTTAGCCACCAATGCGCTTGCAACAAATGTGGGTAGAGCCCTTCCCAAATCTTCGTTCGCGAAGCCTAGCCATGAGTTATCTACTCATTACTGCAAAATATCTTGCAGTTTTCTTAGTGGACACTCTGATCACTATCTTTTCTTATTTAAGTCTTTTAAACTTAAGAACTCAATATACATGCTGAACAAATTTGTTGCAGTAATTTGATGGATGAACAGCAGTTATAAACAGCAGCATATTTTCCCATTAAGTACCTCTAAATGAAACAACAGGTACCAAATTGAAATATTTTTAAAAATTACTTACCATACAAAAGGTCAGACTCTTCCCTCAAAATCCCTTCAAAGTACATACTGAAATTAGACTGTGGTTTAAGGGGTCTTAGATGTAAAATATGCCCATGAACCATAACCAAACAATGTCTTCAAACTCTCAATGCAGTACCAGCTTAATCTTACAGATTTAGGCCAGTATCAAATATACTTTAAACTGGCATAATGTGTCACTGTCACCAAAAGAAACAGACACACCCTTCTCCCCTTACTGTTTGCTTCCACCCCCATCTTTGAGCCAGCACAAATGTTTGTGCAGCAAACTGATCCAGCTCAAACCAAACCCTCCCCTCCCTGCCCCTGCCCCTCCCCCCCAGGTTAGTTCAATCCTCAGCCCGGCTCACCACATAACCATACAAGTATTTGCCTGCACAAAGGAGGAAGCAGCAGAGTGGGGTGGAAGCAAACAGGACCATGTTTTTCAATGGTGGAGCTGGTCTACACCAGCTGTACACTGATGCAAAGCATGAGCAAGTCGCAGGCTGGAGTCCTGCACCATCATCCTGACAGATGCAGGCCTATGAAGTACCACTGTTCCCTTCCTCTCTGGGATACCACCTCTTCACTCACATAGCCACTGACAGGTATGCAAGTGCAGGCTGAGTCGGTTCAGGGTGCTGAGTCAACTAAAAACTAATTCTACCATGAAAAAAAAAAAAGTTGCTCATTTTCAAGTAGTTCAGCCTGAACCAGATCCCAGTGCAATCCTTACTGGCACAAAGAAGGAAAAGAAGGAAAGAGGCTGGGAATGCAGGAGGTACAATTTTGATCAGCTTGTGATGCTGTGGAAACGCACTCATACACTGCCACATTTAAAATCTAGACTTGCCTGCACATCTGAACATGATTATTTTAATCAATTTGTTCCTAAGATTATTCCAATTTTTTCAGAAACTTAGGCGGCCACAGTCTACTTGGACACAAGCTGCAGGAAGAGAGGCCAGTTCACTACATTAACTAATTTCACCCTTCATGTTTAATAAAACAAAGACAGAACATTACTTATTCTAACTTAATGATAGTTTGACCAGATATTCTTTTAAACATCACTGATTAAATCACCTCAGATATTTGCACAGGAACAACACATACGAAATAAAACCACTGCAGCCATGTTAAATATAAACTTAACAATATTTTAGTATTTACAACGAATTTAAACAATCGTTCTGGTGATTAAAGTGATCTTACAAACCGCTCTACTCAGGAGTGAATTTCATCCATTATTCAAGAAGTTGTTTTGCTTAAACTACAAGTCCCAGTGGTCACAGAAGTGAACAAAATTAATTTCAATGCATTCAGACACCTAACAAATACGGATGTAGCTACTTTCAAGCTAACTTTTTAACAGTGAATTATCATAAGCAGGAGTACAGACTGTTAGCAATAATCTTGCTAACTTCCTAATAATAGAATTTATTACTGGATCATTAGATTTAGCAGATAACTGCTTCCATAGGAAGTAAATATATCTGTTTATGTTCATCCAGTTGACAAAGAAAAGAAACAATTATATCAATTCAAAAGATAAGGCATATCAACATTACAGTTCAAGAACTGAAGTGCAGAATCAGATGCATGTATCTGCAAACCAGTCTTCCCAAGTACCATGTCTTATATTTTTCCAGTTTATGAAACATTTTTTTTCCTCACAAAGCTAGATTCTTCCACAAACTACCACTTGCCCATTGCAGCAATTTAAGACAACTGGTCTTCTCTTCAACAGAAATTTCTTGTAGGATGAAAAAGTGTTCCAAAGCACTCTGCCTGTAAAAATTACACAGAAGTGAGAACAATTTATCTTGACTACAATTCACCACCAACATTTGAGACAACACACTGAACTGGAAAGTGAGTAAAACCCTGGAAACACCTTGAACCAGATATTCATACAACTGCTGGTGTATTGTTTCAACAAACATTTCCAAAGCATTCTTGACACAGAAGTAAATAGGGAATCTCAGTCAAGGAATAAAATTCTTAATTTCTTTCCCTTTGGAATGGAGTCAGCAGTTTTTGGGCCTGATCTGGTGATTTATACTGCTACAAGTTTCTTTTCAAGCAGGTATAGATGGGTGTGCTGTTCAAATGCACTTGCTAACCAAGGAAAACAGACAATGAATTTCCCTGGCAGGTCTGCTGACTTTAACAAGATAACAGGATGCTTATTGGATCTGAACCCGTATATCTTAACACCAAGCCATTTTTAACAGAGCAATAAATGTTTAAAAAGTAGTTTTTCATTACCCTAAATATAAATATATTGCAGAACTAGCAGAACAGATTTAATGACAGATTCATGATACGCAGTTACTGCTAACATTAACACCACTAAAAGAAAGATAAAAAATACTTATTCAGAGAACTTTTTTGCTCATTACACTAAATCTTGCTTTGTCACTAGGGTTTTAAGTTAAAAAAAACAATCAAAGACTATACAAAAACATCACAACTTAAACACTTGTTAAAAATATTATTACTATCAAAACACAGTTGGCAAGATTTTAAAATCAACCTTGATTTCTACAGTGTGTATTCATTGTAAAAATAGTATTAATTTCAACTCACAGTCCAACAACACTCCTAGTGATTTCTAATGATGATTATCACATCTTATGCATTAACTTTGAACAAGATGCAGTGACCAGGAAGATAAGAAGACATGCTTTTGTTAAAGAAAAAATTAAATTTAGATGGAGAATCGAGTCAAACAAGTACTGAGACACCTCTGCGACTCTTCAGATCTATCCTTGGTGCATTCACGTCTAGGGATATGTCAGGAAGGGAAGTTTAAAATGACGAGGCAGTGAGCTAGGTATAACTTTCATTCATACACACAGCACCACTTTGAAGAGCCTGGAGGACCCCCTTCCCCTGGTAGACTGTCTGCTGGTCCCAACCCACTGACCCGCCAGAGCTCTCAATGAGTCTCAAGGCTTGCACCTCTAAAGCCCCTGGGCTTGCTCGGCGATTTGGAAAAACGCGGTTGTCTCGGGAGGCATGTGACAGACGCAGCTGACCTCGGGGAAGGTGCGAGCGCTTGACAGGTCACACGGGATGAGACTCGACCGTCAGACACGCCGAGGAGGCGGCAGGTCAGGCAGCCGGGACCGCTCCCCGCGCCAGACCTGCCTCCGGCACAGCCACCGCCGGGACAACTTTATCGCCTCCTCTTTTGTTTTTAAACTCACACTCCGCTCGTCCACCGCCGCTCCCGCGCCAGCCCCAGAGCAAGGCGGCGATCCCCCCTCCGCCCCTCGGCCTTCCCCGCCCACAAACAACCCCCGGCCGCAGCTCCCCGTGCCCGTGGGGGCCCCGCCGCCACACAGGTCCCGCACCCGGACCTACGGGGCAGGAGGAGCAGGTCCTACCGCAGGGCACATCCCAGCCCTGGCTCCCACGGGAGGAGGCGAGACAAGGGGCTGCTCCTGGGCCCGGGAGGCTCCGCTGCCGCCCCCTCCCAGCGGAGCCGGCCGGGCACCCCGCGGGAAGGAGCCGGGGGAGGAGGCAAGGACCAGCACCCACCTTGGCCATAAGCCCCGCGCTGGCCGCCGGGCCGGGCCGCCTGTGACGGGCGAGACGGCGGCCCCGTGTCGGGTCGGGGCACGGCTGCGCCTCCGAGCGCGGCAGCGACAGGGCCGCGCTCTGGGCCGGACCCTGCCCGGCTCCGCTTCCGGAGCGCCGCGCGATCGCCTTCCGGGGCAGCGCCCGCGGAGCCGCGGGGCGGGCGGGGCGGTGGCACCGGCGTGGGGGCTGCGCCGGGAGCGGCGCCGGGGCCGCGGGGAGGGAAGCGGCCACGGAGCGAGTCTTACTGCTTCCTCAGGTTAAAAGAAAATAAAGAATTAAAGCTGCGATTCCGCGCACAGCTCTGGGAAGCGTTGGCTCGTATTGGCTTGGTTCCATGTAAGTTTTGTTGTGCTCGGTGTCACCTCTGTTATTGTACACACTGCCACGGTAGCTCCTCACTTACAGCCGTCGGAGCTGCGCTGTGTTCGTGAGGTTGCACTACGTGCGACGGAAAGCAGAGGTGGGCACGGTGCACATTAGAAACAAAGATACAGCAGAATTAATGTGGGAAGCAAGAACGGGAGGAGACGCCACACCTGCGTGTTGTGCAGGTTTGTGGAAATGCTTAACACTGCTGTTAGCCAGTGCAAAAAAACCCCCCACGGTTGTTCACTTACCTGCACATCACCGTGTCTGTTCCCTGTTTACAGCCCAAAACGTTGTGATCCACAATTAATCTTGAATATGTAGTTTTTGTCTCGACACACAAACACATTGCTCACGGTTAGAGCAGCCGGCAGCCTGCACAAAACTCTCAGCTTTGTCTCGTATTATGTTACGTATGTTTTCCTCTTGTTATTCAGCTTCTCTGGCCTTGATCTAACTTCTGACCTTTCTGCCAAACAATGCCTTGCACTGAATTGCTTCACAGAACAGGTCTGTCTATGTATCTGACTTTCTCAGGGGTTGTGCAACTCCTGTTTTGACTGTGTTTCAGTTATCTTATGACAGGGAGAATGGAGAATCTTACCCTCAGAGTTGCTCACTTTCTTCCCTTCCCTGGACAGTTCCTGCTTTGTAGCGAAAGTGTCAGAAGCAAACGGATAACAGTACTCCACTACCCCATCATACATTTAATCTATAGATTTTGTGAGAGCTGGAAAAGCTGAAGTCCGTGCGGAGATTTTCTTCAGATGTACATGCTAGAAAGGTGATAATATCTAGAAGGAAGAGGGGGCTGAGGTCACTTGTTCTCTTCAGCCTGGAGACTGGGAGACTGAGGGGAGACCTCATTGCAGTCTACAACTTCCTCCTGAGGGGAAGAGGAGGGACAGACACTGATGTCTTCTCTGTGGTGACCAGTGACAGAACCTGAGGGAATGGCCTGAAGTCGTGTCAGGGAGATTTAGGTTGGATATTAGAAAAACGTTCTTCACCCAGAGGGTGGTTGAGCACTGGAACAGGCTCCCCAGGGAAGTGGTCACAGCACCAAGCTTGACAGAGTTCAAGAACCATTTGGACAATGCTCTCAGGCACATGGTGTGATTCTTGGGGATGGTCCTGTGCAGGGCCAGGAGTTGGACATGATGATTCTTTTGGATCCCTTCCAACTCAGCATATTCTGTGATTCTGTGAGAGAGCACAACTGTGGTTTAGCATTTGTACCATTGCAGCTGTTGGCTTCTGTGCGTGTGAGTCAGCACTCAGAGAGCTGGATGGATAAAGCAGAGCAAATGGGATTTTCCTCCAGCTGAGTCATATAATAGGTGAAGTTGTGTAGCAAACTCTGTCATCTAACATACCATATGTGCTCATATCCCATAAACGTAATACACCGATGGGCTACAAAACAATAAGCTGCTCTTAAGACAAAGATCTGCAGGATTCCTTTTGACCTTCAGGTCACAGGGCTGGCCTTAAAGTGTGTTCAAAATCAGTTGTTGATCCCAGTCTGCGAGTCCACATTCAACTAAGTATGGTACCTTGCAATTTTTCTATAGTCGTTTCAGTAGTGTCTGGATGAGCAAGGAACAAAGTTTTGACATGTCTCTTCTTCTGGGTCATTTGTTTTTCTCCCCCTTGAGCTTTCACCATGCCTTCACCAGTTCATGTGAATGGCTGCACTTAAATTATAGGTCAGGACTTGTGTTAAATTTGGACAGCAGAACATCTCTCACAGTCAAGTTCAATGTCTTCATCAAAGATGAGATGCTGGTTTTGTTCATGTGTGACATTGATCATCCTTACTGCTTACCTGAGTGTTACCTTATCCACCTTACCCAGATTTACTGACAGACAATTCAGTATTTAGATACTGGAACTCTGCTGCGTTTTGTGGCTGTTATGTATCTTTCTCCAGGTGATTTTCTGGCTTCTTAAGACCTTGCTGTGTTGCATTCCTGCTGAGAATTTCTAACTGTCACATTGTTGTTCCTTCTCTTTCTCACTTTGTAGATGTTTTGGATCTGTGACATACTGGTTGCTGCTCGTAAGTACAATCATTTCTGTCATCCCAAACTGAGACTATCACAGCTGCCTTCAGATCCCACATCACTTACTAGACTTTCAAAGATTGCACGGCTGCTTACAGACTTCTGCAAATTATGAACTTATATCACTTGAAGTCCTTTGGTGGCATCTTTTGGATCTTGCTAAATTTTCTTTACATCAACTTTGAAGTCAAAGGCTTCCTCTGTTGTTTCACTATGGCTCACATTCTCTCTTTTTAGAAATTAGATGCTGCTGCTACTTTTAAAGCTTTTCCATAAGTGGTTAGCCCATAGCTAAAATTTGTAAAATTATTATTTTAGTAACTAAACCTTTCACTTTGTTTGCTTGAGCATTTTTATATGGTCTTTTACAGTGGCTACTAGGTGTGCTAAATGCATGGCTTTTTGAGGCAACAGAAGTAATCATGCATTTCATCATTCTCTTGATTCATAACTGATTTACCAAGTTGAATGGTCATTTTAAATTTTAGTACTCTTTAGAATTTTCTCCTTTATTAATAATTAAACTTTCACCCCAAATGAAAATTTTCAGGGTTTAACACCTCCTTTTTATTTAAAAATTAGGTCATATAAATATTTTGGAAAGATTCTTAGTCTTTGAAGATGAAGTAAAATTCAACTGCATTAGATATAATGTAGCTCCTGTTTCCAGAAATGCTCATTGCACTGTCGTAATCTATTTCCGTGTTGGTTCATTGACCCTTATTGTTCCAGTTTCTGGATTCTCACAAGATGATACTAACATGTTGTGGTGGGTTTTATCATGAAATTTGAAGTCTTCAGGTGAAGTGCTTTTGCCTATGACCTATGTTGATTTAGGCAGTATTCAATTCTGTAAGCAAGAGTGCAGTCCGGTCACATACAACATTTTAACAGCAGATTTTTCCCCTGTACTCAGCACTGGTGAGGCCACACCTTGAGTCCTGTGTCCAGTTTTGGGCCCCTCACTACAAGAAAGACATTGAGGTGCTGAAACGTGTCCTGGGAAGGGCAATGAAGCTGGTGAAGGTTCTGGAGCACGAGCCCTATGAGGAACAGCTGAGAGAGATGGGGTTGTTTAAACTGGAGAAAAGGAGGCTCAGGGGTGACCTTATCATGCTTTGCAACTACCTGAGAGAAGGTTGTAGCCAGGTGGGGGTTGGCTCTTCTCCCAGGCAACCAGCAACAGGACAAGAGGAAATGGCCTCAAGGTGCACTAGGGAAGGTTCAGATTGGACATCAGGAGGAAGTTCTTCATGGAAGGGAGTGTCAATCCAGTCATGTTACATTCTGTGTCTCCTCGTGTGACAAAAGTAGAATAACACTTTGTGTATCAGATCAAGAAATTTTTGTTTTCACAACCAAACTCTTGCATACAGTAAGGGCCATACAGCAGCTACTTATAGCCTGATCCTGCACTTAAGAAAGCACACCTCCCCAACACAGTTAATAGTATTTTTTTCAGAAGAAGTGCAAGACTAAGCTAATCATTATAACCAGTTCACTGCTTCATTGAGTATTGTCATCGTTAGTTGTGATTTCAGTTGAAAGTGGAAAAAAAGTTCAAATCCAATAGTACATAAATGTGTTTTGCAGCTGGACATTTTAATTCACATAGTGATTTTTTTTCCTGAAATGATTGCTGGAAGATGACAGACTTTCTGCTCTTATTCCTATGGTAGCCAGAAAAAGGTTAAGCAGACCTGGTCATTCAGGAATTCTTCAGATGGCTATTTGTATTGTAATTTGTTTTTCTTCAGTTGTATAAATTGTCTTCCTTATACAAATACACCACTAATACTGTTAGAGCATCTGTGAGCTTCAAGTAATATTCCATGGAAGACAGGGTACTTATTGTGACAGTCAGTTGGTAGACTTTTAAAGATAATACAATAATTTTAAACTTAGGGTTTTTTTCTGACCTTATTTTAGACTGAGCTTGCTATCTGAGATACTGTAATTTACTCTTCGAGATGTTAGATATTTGGTGCTTTACCATCTGAATATTCAAAGCCTGAAAAACATCATTGCAAGTGAAGCTGCTTTTTGGGCCTCACAAGTATATATACGCATTCAGTTCTTCTCACAAATGAATGTTCTACGTAACCAAATTGAGCTGGTTTCATTTTCCTAACAAAGGCTGTTGCATGCAATTCCTGTAACTTCTTAATGATTGTTTCCCTGGAGGAGCATCTGTGTGTTGACTGTAGAATGTACACACGTCTGTTTCCAGCTAGCCTGTAATAACCAAGTGGGTCATAAATCTAATTAAATGCAAAAAAATACAGTGTGTTGCAGTAACATTCAAGATCTGACTTCAGCTGACAGCATTTCTTTTCCAAGGGAAGACTGCTGCTATGACCTTACTTCACTCCTTTGTATTTCAGAGTTTCAGGGCTTTGGAACTGTGCACACTTGACTATGTACTATGTACAAAACAGTGTTCGAAGAGCATTGTCACAGTAGCAAACTTAAATATTGGGCAGCTTGTGCAGCTGTGGTTTTGACTCCCTTGTGGGCACCAAGTATGATAGAATTAAGTAGCCTATCATAGCCTACCATTTTTCTATTTTTGCATTCAGGACACAGAACAGATACCTCTCACAGAAGAAAACAGCTGGTTATTTTAAATCTCTGCATGCAGCAAGTGCCCTTTGCCTTATTCATTTATTCATTTAGTGAAAAACTACTTAGGTATTCTTAGGTCATTTGTCATTGTGTTAGTTAATACTTCATTAGCATTAGTGGAATTTTTTCTGTGCTTCTTTTTCAAGACAAGAAATGTAGTTTCATTTTATTTCCAAGGAAGTGTGGAGGTATATACGAGCAATACCACACTGCTTGTATTTGTGGCAGTTAACACTGGAGAACCTTGGTGGTGGGTGAAGTCAATCACAACTAGTTCTC